TTTACTAGCTTCGGTTACTACTACGTACTCTGCTTATGTAGTGGATAAAGCAACAATCTTCTGTTTTTGCGAAACCCAACTTACTACAGTAGTACCAACTGTGAATACATAACCGGTGGTGCTTTTTCTGTGATCGACCTCTCCAGCAAAACTGCGTCTACAAAACCTTGTAGCGTCAACTTGCCTCTTTTGAAGCACAAACATTTATCGGTAGTACCCTGTAGATATCTCAGTATCCACTTCACTGTTTCCCAGTGCTGTTTTCCTGGATTGGTCGTAAATCTGCTCACAACTCCCACTGCATGAGCAATATCTGGTCTTGTACAGACCATGGCATACATCAAACTCCCAATGGCTGATGCATATGGAATACTAGCCATAGAGTTTCTTTCTTCTTCTGTTTTTGGAGACTGGTCGTTAGATAGACGGAAGTGATTAGCCAATGGAGTGCTAACTGCCTTTGCATTATTCATGTTGAACCTCTGCAAAACTTGACTAATGTACTTGGCCTGGGATAGCTGTAAAATACCCTTTTGCTTGTCCCTACAAATTCTCATCCCAAGAATTTGTTTAGCTGGACCCAAGTCCTTCATTTCAAATTCTGCTGACAATTGCTTCTTTAATTTCTGGATTTCGTTCATGTCTGGTCCTGCCACTAACATGTCATCAACATAGAGTAGCAAAATAATGTAACTAGACTCTAACTTTTAAAGTAGCAACAATGGTCAGCATTGCACTTGTAGTAGCCATTTCTCTGCATAAATCCGTCAAACTTCTTGTACCACTATCTCGGAGCTTGTTTCAAACCGTACAAGCTTTTCTTCAACTTGCACACAAGCTTCTCTTTTCCTTTGATTGAGAAACCCTCTGGTTGCTGCATATATATCTCCTCTTCCAAGTCACCATAGAGATAAGAGACTTTATCTCATCTTTCATTGCAAGCTCCCACTTAATCGCATCCTCTCCCTGACATGCCTCATCATAGCATTCAGGTTCGTCGGTATCAGTAAGTAACAGATAGTTTATGTACTTTCTGTTAGGAACATGTGGTCGAGAAGATCTCCTTAGAGTAGGAATAGGAGACCTTGGTATGTTAGTCTCCGCAACAACTTCCTCTGGCTGAGAATTCTCACCTGTCTGCTGTGGCATACTATTTCTTGGAGTATCGTCCAACTCAACATATGTTGGATCATCATGTAACTCATTTGACTGCAATGTATCTCTGTCCTTGTACATCACCATTTCATTGAATATGACATCTCGACTTCTGATGACCTTTTTGCTCTTATCATCCCAAAAACGATATCCGAACGCATCTCCACCATTTCCAATGAAGGTACACTTTAGTGATTTGGGGTCAAGCTTACCCCTAGCTTGATCACTAATATGTACATATGCGACACAGCCAAAAACTTTCAAATAAGAAAGTTTTATTTCTTTTTCGCTCCATACTTCCTCCGGTATCCTGTACTCCAAAGGTACTGATGGCCCGCGATTGATTAAGTGTGCTGCTGTATTGATAGCTTCAGCCCAAAATTGTTTAGGCAAACCTGCATGTAACCTCATGCTTCTGGCTCTTTCCGTCAACGTCCGATTCATTCGTTCCGCCATTCCATTTTGTTGTGTGTTCCTGGCAATGTCCTTTCCAATTTGATACCATTTTGGTAACAAAACTTTTTGAAATCAGCATGTTCGTACTCTCCGCCATTGTCTGATCTCAATTTCTTTACTCGCGATCCTGTTTCATTATCCACCATGGCTTTCCACTTCTTAAACACCTCGAACACTTCGGATTTGTATCTCAAGAAGTAGACCCATACTTTTCTGGAGTGATCATCAATGAAAGTCACAAAATAAGACTTTCCGCCAATAGATGGAACTGCAGCTGGTCCCCATCCGTGTGACCTAACTCTAGCTTTTCCTGCTTCAGAGTTCTGCCACACTTGTTGAAACTCACCTGCTTCTGCTTCCCGAAGATGCAACTTTCGCATAAGTCTACATCAATAGATTGAAGTCCTGGTAGTTTCCCTTTGTCATGCATGTACTTGAGTCCTTTCTGACTCATATGCCCCAATCTCTGGTGCCATAGATTCGGATCTTCATTTAAAGCAGCAACTACAATTATTCCGCAAGCACTCGTCGTAGTGTAAAGAGTACCACTTTTCTTGCCTCGTGTGATGGTCATTGCACCCCTGGAAACCTTCCAAATATCATCGTTGAAGGTTGTGACATAACCTTCATTTGATAGCTGTCCTACAGATATCAAGTTCTTCCTCAAGTCTGGAATGTGTCTCACATCCTTCAGTTTCCATACAGATCCATTAAGCTTGATCTGTACTTCGCCTTTGCCGACTACGTCACAAGGTTGATCATCACCAAGATATACTTTTCCAAGATTGCCCGGTTCATAACTCGTAAAGAGTTCTTTGTTTGAGGTAGCGTGAAAAGATGCTCCAGAATCTATTACCCAATATTCTGCTTTACTTTCCAAAGAGCATATCAAAGCATCATCTGATTCTTCCGCTACAACATTGGCCTCGGTCTTGTTTTCATTCTCTTTCTTGGAAACTTGGCACTGATTTTTGTAGTGTCCGGTCTTGCCACAATTCCAACATTCAATAATTTTTGATTTGTTGGAATTCTTTGGATTTCTGGATCTTGATCTGCCAAACCTTGACTTGCTCCTGTTATGCCCTTTACTTTTGTTTGAACTTCTGCCTCTGCTCTCCACGTTCAAAGCAGCTCCTGAAGTGGAAACACCTTCTGACTGTCTCCGAATTTCCTCGGTCAAGATCATACTCACGACATCATCAAACTTCAACTTGGACTTTCCAGCAGAGCTACTAATTGCCGTGACTGTACCACTCCAACTCTCAGGCAGCTGCCCGAGAATTAACAAAGCTCGAACCTCGTCACTGAAAGTGATTTCAACTGTGTTTAATTGGTCCGTTACTTCATTGAACACGTTTTGGTGTTCTCCAAATCTTCCACCTTCAGCCATCTTCATATTAAACAATTTTTTGATTAAATGAATTTTGTTTGCTGCAGACGGTTGTTTGTACATGCTAGACAGGGCCGCCATGAGAGACGCCGTCGTCTTCTCATTTTTTATGTTGAAAGCAACTGACTTTGATAATGTCAGTCTTACCGCGCCAAGAGCCTTTCGATCCAGCAATTCCCACTTCTCGTCTGTCATGTCTTCTGGCTTTTCATGAAGTGGTTTATACAGATCCTTCTGGTACAAGTAGTCCTCCATTTGCATCTTCCAAAATCCAAAATTTGTACCATCAAATTTATCGATTTTGGATATCTTCTCGTCTGTCGCCATTGCTCCCACTCAAATTCTGGAGCTCTGATACCAATTGTTAGGAATTAGATGATACTAATCCCGCCGGATCAGTGGGACGCAGAATAATTTAAACTGAGAAGAAATAANACTATATCAACAAGAGAAGAAAAGTTACAAAAATACACTCTGTATTTTATTTGCCTACGCAGAGGCAATCTCTCAATTTTCTCTCGTTAATTTTCTGCACAACTGAAGCCTAACTGCTCCTCACTTTTGTGCTTTGCTCACTATCTCTCGTGTTTTCACTCTGTACATTCTTCTCTTGCACACCTTCTGCCTTAGCTCCAATCTCCAATTTATAGAGAGAAATCTCGCCAGCCTCATTAACTGCAAATCTAATTTTTCAACAAGGCAACCTTCTATTAAATTCATTTGCACCAAATCTTCAACAAACTACAGCTGAATGACTGCAAACATTTCCATGCAAATTGTCTTTTTCAACATTTGCTGCAACCTTTGAAGAAATGTGTCTGCCACCATGAAAAAAATTGTCAAAGAAATCCATGCAAGAAACCTTTGCATTAAATGCTAAGTAAAAAATTCTCCTGCCAACTTTGAAAAAAGTATTTGCCATCATGTGAAGCCTGAAACTTAGGCTCCATAATTTCAACAAGATCACATATAAAGCAGGGCGACCAACATCAACTAATACTTATTGGACGAGCTATGAACGTCAAAAGTTACTTTTAAGTCCAAAACTTACTCATTTCGAAAGTAACAGCTAATTTGGTTATAGTCAGTCACAAAGAAAAGTAAACAAACCCTTATCCCAAAAGATGAAAAATCCAAATCAAAGAGATCAATCATCTAAATAAATATCTCTACCCCCATGATGAGTAGCTAATTTTCTTTAAGATTCCCGGACGCATTCGTCCAACTAAAATTCTCAAATCCAGAAAGTTCGTAGCGTTCAGTCAAAGGTTGTGTTATATCTGTGACGACAGAAGTTCTCACGAGGCCTTGGGCAGATAGGAACTTTTTAATATAAAGAGTGGCATAGTATTCGCTAGTAACCTCGTAGAAATATCAATGGATCTTCGACAATGGNAGATAGGAACTTTTTAATATAAAGAGTGGCATAGTATTCGCTAGTTACCTCGTAGAATTATCAATGGATCTTCGACAATGGCTGGAGGAACGCTTCATGCTGTCCATACTGTTTGCATCAATATTAATGGTGCTGGGTTTCATGTTTTTCTCAAACAAGAACTTCAATAAACGAAATCTCAAAATGCCCCCAAGCCCTTCGAAACTTCCCATCGTTGGCAACCTCCATCAACTTGGCAACATGCCACACCTCTCTCTTTACGATCTATCAAAGAAATTCGGCCCCATCATTAGCTTACAACTTGGTCAGATCCCAACGGTAGTGATTTCATCAGCAAGAATGGCGAAGGAAGCAATCAAAGACCATGATCTTGCACTTGCAAGCCGACCCCAGCTATTTTCTGCCAAACATCTTTTCTATAACTGCACCGATATCGCCTTTTCTCCATATAGTGCTTACTGGAGGCATATACGAAAAATCTCAATATTTGAGCTACTAAGCGTGAAGAGAGTCCAATCCTATGGCTTTGTACGAGAAGAAGAAGTTGCTCGTCTGATTCAGCGTATTGCAGAATCATACCCTGGTACCACCAACTTATCCAAGATGCTCGCACTCTATGCAAATGATGTTCTTTGTCGTGTAGTGTTTGGTAGAGATTTCTCAGAAGGGGGAGAGTATGATCGGCATGGATTCCAAAAGATGCTTGAGGAATATCAAGAATTACTCGGTGGATTTGGCATCGGTGACTTCTTCCCTTCTATGGAATTTATGCACACATTGACTGGAACAAAATCACGACTTGTACACACTTTTAGAAGCTTCGACCAGTTTTTTGACGAGGTGATTAAGGATCATCTAAGTCACAATAACAAAAAAGATCACAAAGACTTCGTGGATGTCTTACTTGAAGTACAGAAGAATGAAGATGTTGAAACGCCTCTCACCATGGATAATGTTAAAGCAATCCTCCTGGTCAGTGACTACCTTTTATGCTTCTTACAATTCTGCACAATTAAGCTTGCGTGCAGGCATTCTTTGACTCGATTTTAATTGTAACTGCAGGACATGTTTGCTGCGGGAACTGATACAACCTTCATTACATTGGACTGGGGAATGACAGAGCTCGTGATGAACCCAAGAGTACTGGAAAAGGCACAAGCTGAGGTAAGAAGCATAGTCGGGGAAAGGAGATTTGTATCAGAAAGTGATTTGCCCCAGTTGCACTATATGAAAGCTGTTGTTAAAGAAATCTTCCGATTGCATCCTCCTGCACCGGTACTCGTTCCACGAGAATCCATTGAAGAGATTACCCTTGGCGGGTATACTATTCCTGAAAAAACAAGGATTTTCATCAATGCTTGGGCAATAGGCAGGGACCCAGAATCATGGCAAAATCCGGATCTGTTTGAACCAGAAAGATTCATGGGTAGCAATATTGATTTCAAGGGGCAAGATTTTGAGCTAATACCTTTTGGTACAGGCAGACGAAGCTGTCCAGCTATTGCATTTAGTTCTGCAACTGTTGAGCTTGCTTTGGCACAACTCCTTCACAG